AACGATATACAAAAAAGGTACATAAATCTTTAATTAACAAAATGATATATCCTCACCATAAGTTACATAAACATTACATTACTGTCCCCTTTGAACCTTTACTTCAATTTAAATTTAAAAATAACCTTGAACAATATAACATAATCCGTGCTTTTACTTCCGGTATAAAACTCGGACAATTAATAAATAATACTAAACATAAATTTGGAATTGACGAATCGAGCGGAGTGTATCGAATAAACTGTGGTGACTGCGATAGGTATTACATAGGACAAACCGGCCGTAATCTGAAAATACGATTTAGGGAACATCTTACCAAGGACTCGTCAGCTTTTTATAAACATCTCAAATCCACCAAACATAAAACAGATTCCTGTAATATTAAACTCCTTAAAAACATCAAAAAATCCAAAGAATTAGATTTATTGGAAGAATTTTACAATCACACCAATAAATCAGAACTAATGCTTAACGATTTAACTGATTTCAACAATAATAGATTTTTCCTAAATTTCATTTAACCCCCACTCCCACCCCCATTTCTTTATACCTTGATGAAAGTCACCTTACTCCGTACAGTCGGACTTTTGCGCATCACGGAAAAGTACCGTTTCACTTTTTTAATTTTTTTTTTCATAGTTTCTTCATAATTTTTGTTATTTTTTCATTTAACAGTTCTTCTTTTTGTTTTATTAATTTGTTTGTTTCTTTTTACGATGATCCTTGGTAAGATGTTTCAAGATTTACTTTTACATGAAATTTAACCTCTTTTTTTACAGATAAAAACACTTTTCAACGTGTTTTCAAATTTTCATTTTACAAACTTTAATGTAAACAACGTTTCTGTTCCGATTCGAGAAAATGTATTACTTAAAATGTACACAACCCTTTTGCGACTGTTTTTGTAAACCAATTACTGAATCAACATTAATTCTCCGTCTCAACATCTAATCTCTCTTTCGACGGTAAATATACCTTGCGTTCTTTTCTTAAATGTACACCTCATAAATTAGAATTTTCATAATTTTTTAGTCGTGCCTAAGAAGAAGACCTTATTGGTCGAAGCAATTGTCGCACCGAAACAAATAAATAAACAATCATCATCGTAAAACTCACTTTTTATTTCATTTTAAGGTAATGACCCAATTCTTGAGGGATGGTGGTGTTGAATGCGATTTTGTGTTGTAGTCCTCAAAATACATATTTGTAAGTTGTTTTATAGCGTCTAAAAGAATATAAAATAGAATACAATATTTTATATTTTGAGTATGATACCTCTCCAAAAGTTACAATGGCCACTGTTTTTTGCAACAACCATCTTCAACGGTTTTCCCTGTGTGTTAATTCTTAAAGAACCATTAACAGAGTCGAATAAATCGTCGAAGAATTTTAACACACGGGCTGTTTGCGACGCTTCTTTTGGCATCACAACTTTTCCATCAGCGCTCACTTCATCTGTATAAGTATAGAAAAAGAGGTAAATAGAATTTTATTTATGCTTACTGTTATTAATCATTACTTACTGTTTCTTGCCATTATGGTCATAGTAGCTGCCATTGTATGACTGAAAATTTGACTACAATATGATACTTTTATTTTCTTCAGTTTATCCTCCATTACATGTTGTTCAGTGATTTTTCGTAAAGCACGAAGTTCACCGCTCATAACGTATATATAATAAGCAATTTTGACGTGGCTCCAAACTGCGGTTATTGTCTCATTGTTTTTGTGCCATATCAATTTCTTTTTTAATAATTGATTCCAAATTCCCTTCAGAAGATGTGGTGGATCATATAAAACCACTACTCTTTTGTTGTTGACCCAAAAAACATGGGTCAACATGGGACATCATTATGTAACTGGTTTTTAGTGCCGTTTACTAGTAAATTTAGTGCTCCCTGATCAAGATGCTCCTTGATCACAGACAGTAGCAAGTATATCAAGGCCACATTCCTGCAACCGCTCTACTATATCCACTATCAGTTTAGCAAGAGCGCCGCTATTAACACCACCACTAGAGAACATGTAGGCTATTGGCTGTTTCCATTTTTTTACAATACCTTGTATCATAAATACAAGTGCCCTATCAGCAATTTTGTTGGACTTCTTATAGCCAAGATTTTCCAAACCAACAAAAGCATCTGCTCTTGTATTATAGCTGATATTGGCATCTAAAAAAACCTCATCAAACATTAATATTGATACTCGTTCTTGTACTTTCATTTTTTTAACAGTAGATTCCAAATTTTTAAATACTGCATCGTTTAATTCCGTTTCAATTGGTATCGACTGGAGTAGTTTGGTTATGGTGTCTCGTGATGGCAAGGAAAAAAAGGCACTCAAGTATTTATAGCTTCTACCTGACTGTTTGTACAATGACAGGCAAAACAACTTCTCCTCAATAGTGTATCGTCGTCCTCTCGGTTTATATTTTGATAACCGTAATTGTGTTTTACAAAAATTTAATTGTATGGGGTTTAAACCCTCAAACGCCTTTAATGGATTGTTGTAAAACATTTCTTCTGCTTTGCGCAAGCGTTGTTTTAAATTTAAATTTCGGTTACGAATAGCAAAATTTTGTCGTTTTAAGTTTTTCAAAGCCACCAATAACTTTGCATCACCATAATGTTGTTGGAACGGAACACTTAACTAAACGATACACTAAACTAAACGAAACGAGCACTAAAAACTATACAATACACTAAACGCACTAAACTAAAGTCAAATAAAATATATAAAATAACGCAAAAATCGGTGACAACATAGCAAAAATGGCGCCTGTCAGTTAATGTAGGTTTGGTTGGTAACAGTTGTAACCACTTTGACTCTGTGTTGGTAACGTAGTTTGCAAGTTGCGTATGTAGCGCCATCTAGTCGATTGTGTTACCGACTAAAATTCCGTCTTTATTTTATACCTATAAGATATCACACCGTGGTCTGAAGGTAGGTATTAAACACCATTGCAGTGTGACCATCACACATACCGCCTACAGAATAGAACTGAATAGGAATCTTGCCCCATACGGACTCTTACCCGTCGTTACTCTATATTATTTAAAAAACTGTGTTGAAAGTTTCAACATGATAACTAACTAATGCAATATTTACCTTTTATAGCTGTAGTTACTGTCCTACTAAATACTTGTGCGCAATTGCTCACTTTCATTTTTTTAAATTATTACGGATTTACATGAACTGTAATTTTCGTTAGCATTCGGAATTCTCCCATATGTGGGTGCATTTTATAAATTTGTATGATGTCTTTCCAAAACAGAAATACCAATGAATAATTGTGTGAACAGTAATGACAAGAAGAAATAAATGTTATTTGATGCTGAAGTAAGAATGATATTGTGTTACTTACATGATGCACATGATCCTTCTTAAAATGCAAATCTGCTTGTAATAAATTATTTCTGACGCCTTTCATTAGATGAGGAACGCCAAAAAGTGGTATTATTCTTTGATTGACTTGAAACACAATCGTATAGTTCCTCACCCTGTTTAGCATATTTTTTTTTCGTTTCATTCACTAAATATTTAATAGCACTACTATTATTTTGGACTTGGTCACAAACTGTGGCAACAATGTATAATCAAACTTCTTCTACCGCCAATACAGTAAAGTAGGTGGCGACTTCCGGTATAACTGGAAGTGTTAGATATTTGAAAATATTTTAGTCGAAGAGAACGCAATTGATAATACTTAAATCTGAATTTTCAAATTTGTATTTTGGCCAGAACCTGTAAAGTTCTAATGGACGGTCGTCGTGGATGACCTTGTATAGTGATATATTCACTCACCTGAACATGGTTGGCAATTTTATGTGATCGCTCTAGACTAGGGTTGCGCATCGATAGAAAAACACCGATGTTAGCACGGATGTTAAGTTTGAATGTCTGATATCGATGTCATCGATATATCGGATAGAAAACATCGATGTTTCGAAAAAATCGGTTTCAAAGTAAAACTTCATTGCAAAGATGAGAACACAAGGTTCAACAAGGTTCTTACAAGAGTATATTTACTTTAAAATAAATAAATAAAATAAATATTAATTATTATTATAAACGCAGTATAATATATAATATTGGTCGAACAGGATCGGGTTGGGTCGGGACAAAAATGTATCAGATTTCTAGATGGCGACGTAGAGAAATTAATTATTTATTGGGTTTACACCAATGGCAACCTGTCAAATATTTAATCCATATAACAATTAAATCTGATACTATTTCTGGTATGTTTTGAGCCAACTATATTACTCTAATCTAATAGTTAGTAAACTTATAATCTAATCCAATACTTATAGTAAAATAATTATAAGTCCCATCTTTTTATCTAAAGTCTGTAAAAACAACAATTTAGACAATCTTGCACATTTTAATCTATTTCATTACTGAGTAAGTGCTTGATCAGCTTTTGAAAACAGTCGCTCAGAGGGAACAAATGTTGCCACCGTAGTAAGATATTTATTTGCTATCTTGCTAATTGTTGGATATGCAGATTCTAGGTTTCTCCATATTTCGAGTGCATTGTTGTTTATTTCACACACGGGGCTCTTGAGGTACAGTACAACTTCTTCTTCATTATTTTGTGCCTCGAAATATCCTTGTGCTTCTACAAGTTGTGCATTCCTTGTGCATTGACGACAAAGAAAATTGTTCGGTAGAAACATTTGTAGTAGTGGTAAGAGATGTTCCTGTAAATGATTTAATAATTGGAATATAGTAAAAATATAGAATATTTTTGTATCTTATACCGCTAGATAAAGACATGGAAGTGGAAGTATCTTTGCGTTGTGCATCAAGAACCATATCCTTAAGTAACCTTACAGACCTTGAGCAGGCAAGAGGATCTTTGAAGAATATTTTTTTAAATCTAGCATCCAGCAACGTAGACAATGCGAGAAAATTAACGTTTTCCATTTGTCCAAACCTTTTCGTACATTCCATTAATACTGCATCTTTCAAAGCAATTGAAACAGGATCTTCATAATTTAATGAGGAAATCTTTTTACCATGCAATGTACCATGGGAATAACCATACTGGAGGTTAAGTATTTTTCACCACAACACTCTGTGGATGTTGATTCTAATGGCCTTAAAATTTCCATTGTTTCTTTTAGCTGCAAAATTTCGAGTGCACTAACCATTGGCGGAGCTGATGTATGGCGTATTAAAATTTCGTTGACTTCTTTATGCAGTTGTAAAAACCGTTCTATCATGCAGAACTTAGAGTTCCAACGAGTTGGGCATTCTTGAATTAATTTTGTATTTTGTGACATCTTACGCAAATCGTCGATGGCAATTACGCTGTGTTTGAACCATGTCACAATTTGTTTGACTTTATTCAAAACATGGACAAATTTTGCAACAGATTTTACAGATTTCTCTGCTACTAAATTTAAAGTGTGTGCAAAGCAATTCATATGTTTGGCTTTAGTAAAAGCCAACTCCACAGCTAAAATCATATTTGCTGCATCATCCGTAACAACGGCTGTTACATGTTCTTTATGAATTCCCCAATTTTCACAGGTATCGGTCAATATTTTTGATAAGTATTCTCCAGTGTGACGTTCCTCTAATTGTTGTACGCATAACACTATTGAATTGAGAGATATATCTTTGACATAATGTACTGTAATCCCTAGAAAGCTTCTTGCTTGCATCGTGTTAGTCCACACATCTGTCGCAAGGGTAATATTTTTTACATTAGCAAGTTCTTCTTTAATAACTTTTGAAAGAACTTCATATTTTGAATCAATCATTCTTGTAATGGTGGATCTATGAGGAATTGTATAATGTGGGGCTGTAATTCTGAGGACTTGTTTAAAACCGTCATTATCAACAACTGATATTGGCTGACAATCCTTGCAAATCATAAAAATGATCGCGTTTGTTATTTTCGCTGCTTTAGCGCCTGTGTTCAAAAAAGTATTAATATCTGCAAAGTACTTATTAATTTCTATTTGATGATGGGATGAGTATTGCTATTTGAATTTGTTTCGGATGGTAAATTTAAAGAATGATCATTTTTCGCCCGCTTACTGTCATTTTCTTTGGTAATGTTTTCACGATGGATACTATTTATATGCCCTATTAAATTTGTTGTATTTCCTGATGTTTTTGGAAAACAATTGTTTTCCACATAATCTACACGTGGCGGTACCGTCCTGTTTTTTTTTGAAAAAATTGCCATACTTCACTTTTCCTTTTAGGAGCCATTACAAAATGTTCATCTTAAAAATTAATTTATTATTATTATATTTTTTTATAATAAAGCGAACTTACCCTAGTAGCATAAAATAGAAACAATATTTTATTGTTACTATTGATATAACTATGTATCTGTCACAGGAAGGGACCCACTTAACTGAACTTTATATCTGAACACTACAACCAATAACGCCAGATTGTAAAAGAAACAAAGGCAGGGTGAACAAAGGTAATAGGTGCGGTGCGTAGTGCGTAGTTCGTAGTTTCGTAGTTTCGTAGGTAATTCCCAGAACATCAGACCTGGAAATCCCGAAATTATGATTTCTACTACAGTTATATACTCGTTGCTAAAAGCGCTACAGCCCGTTAGATGGCGTGGTACATCCCTGAGGATTAATTTATTAATTTTCTGATTTATTTTTGCAAATAAAGTTTAATATCTATGTACAGTGTGTCCCCGGATTGTGTTCCAGTAAGATATAATTGACGAAAAATTTTTGAATTCAAATTCCATCTTTTGCAATTAAAGTCTGGATGTCATAAAACGAAATATAACCGAATTTTACATCAAATGTCCTCAAAGTATCAAAGTTAACGCAAGAAGTTTGTTAACCGTTGCAGGTAAAGTGGTCTTTCTGAGCGATGTACAACAAAAGTTGATTAAGATAAAATGTTTGTTATGTTAAATTATAGCGATATACCGAATTTTATTAACTTAGGATATAAAAGCAAACTGCAGATTTTTATATCATAAGATTAACAAAACATTTTCGATCAAACTAAATTAACATAAAAGCTTATTCAATGATACCACCACCGACACTAACACATAATTCAGCCCTTTTCCGAAATTGTTTATAACTTTTTCTAACATGGTCCAACGGAATTTCTCTAATAACAGTTTCAATTTTTTGTTTTAAACGGTCTAAACTGTTATTAAAATTTTCAGTGTACACTTTTTGTTTTACATAACCCCAAAAATAAAAATCCATAATAGATAAATCCTGACTTCTTGGCGGCCATGGTGCGGGCCATATCTACCAATCCATTTTTTTCCAAATAACGTATTTAACAAATTTCTAATTAAAATGGTTGAATGTGGGCCGCAACCATCTTGTTGAAAATATAATTTATTGCGTTTTTCTAAATCCACGCCGTGAACATAATTAAATAAACAATTTTCTAGTATATCCAAATATTGGTGTTGATTCAAATTGCCGTTTATGAAGTAAGTTTATGAACAGCACACCACACATTTACTTTCTGGGAATACTGGCGTTTACAAGCTATGTGATAATGTGAATTAGTCGTGAATTAGTGTCCAGAATCGACAATTTTGTGATGTAACCACTCCATTAGTGGTGAACGATGCTTCGTCCGAAAATTATGTTTTTTAAAAAAGTTCTGTCTTTCAAAATTTTGTACCCAAGCTACAAACAATAATCTAAACGTTTTGCTTCATCACCTGATACGATAGTGTGGTTAAATTTTGGTTTATATGGCAATATTTTATTTTCTCAATAAATTCTTTGTAAATGGGATTTACTTATACGGACTTGAACTGCCTTTTTTCTTAACGACACCTCACCGTAATCCACTGCGTTCGTTACTGCAACAATTTCTTTCCTTCGCTTTTTTTCCTTCGTTTTATTTTCCACATTGCCCCTTTCCGAAAATTTTTTAACAACTCTCTTCATTGTTTTTTTATCTACTAAAAATCCAAATTTTTCCTCAAATTGCCTTAAAATTACATTGTAACTAATGTTCCCCAATCCATAGCACTGCACTATAAATATTTTACGTTGTGATGTAAAACTCACATCATTTGTTTTTATTGTAAAACGGAATATTAAAAAAAGTTTTCAAGAAAAAGCTCATTTTTTCTTTTATATGCTAAATTAATAAAATTCGGTATATCACTATAATTTAACATAACAAACATTTTATCTTAATCAACTTTTGTTGTACATTGCTCAGAAAGACCACTTTACCTGCAACGGTTAACAAACTTCTTGCGTTAACTTTGTTACTTTGAGGATATTTGATGTAAAACTTGGTTATATTTCGTTTTATGACATCCAGACTTTAATTGCAAAAGATGGAATTTGAATTCAAAAATTTATCGTCAATTATACCTTACGGGGACACAATCCGGGGACACACTGTATAACATCGAAATATCCACATCGATATGAGAAAAATATCGTAATAGTAATATCGATGTCAAAACATCGGTATTTTTTTTCTCGACATCGATGTTAGCGGCCATCGAATGTTCGATGCGCAACCCTACTCTAGACCATAGTCTTCAAATCCATATATGTACTTCATCTTCCGTAGTGTTGTATTGCAAATGTGATCCAACCACATTTCATCAAATAACAAAATATAGACTCTCTCCCTCTTACACATCACTGCTATCCTCTATAAATATTGGGCTATTGGTGATAAGTCGACTTGTTTGTGGACACCAACTTCCTCCAATAAACTCTCCCTTTGTTTAGCTGTCAAATAATATTGGAATGAAATTATAAATATATACAGTAACACACAGCTTATAACCCATTAACGCCTAACGAAAATTGCGCATATCCTTAAACGGGGATTTGTTAGAAGAATTAAAAAAAATTGATAAATCAGCTTCTTTTATGTTTGGTATAGATCACCCCAATAATTACCCCGATTAACGCTGTTTCGGTTAGCGTGTAAGCGCATCAAAACCTGTATACAGCATTAAGCGGGGTTTCCGTGTAATATGAAATCAAAAAATCATACTACATTCTTTTGTAATAAAAGGAAAATTAAGCGTTTTTAAATGATGTTTCATTTATTAAATAAATCTTATTAAGAGTTTTAAGCCATTATAGGTAATTTAACCGTATAGAAAATAAAAAATGAGGAGTTTTTCAAATAAACGATTTATAAAACACATAATTTCTTACCTGGAGTCTCCAATGAGATTGTACTGGTGGATCTTGAAGCAACCTGAAGTCCCATATCTGCATGTGAAGTAGTGAGCATGTTATTCGAAGCACTTGAAGTACTGACTTCTAAGTACTGATATCCTATACGTGAAAAAAAAATATGCCTCAGTCCTAACAACATTTTGATAATTTTATACACATACCTGGCAAATTTAATGATGGTACTACTCATTTCAACAATTTGTTATTACGTCCAACGCAGGTCTTCTCGCACACAACATAAAACTCATCTTTGATATATTTCTGGATACATTTGTGGGTTTGGAAATCAATAGAAACTTAAAACGATCTATTCGGGGTGAATAAGCACAGGAACAACTTTTACAATTTGCTAATATATTTCGGTTGTCGAATTACTACCTTAATCAGAGCGAATTACATTTGCTGTTAAAGACAAAAAAAATTTTCTTAAAATAGTAGAAGTTTTACAAAATAAGTTGCAAAACTTACTTGTTTATGAAGTGGATAAACCAAAAACGTTATTGAACACATTACATAGAAATTATTGCGTTTAATCAAATTAAAATGTGGAATTAAAAGTTAAAATCATTGAGACGAACGAGTTACACGTTAAAATTTTACTTTCGTTTTTTCTTTTGATTCTGAAATTCTAGTTTTATTTGAACAAAACTGGAGCAATACGCACAGCGCATGCGTTAAATATAAAGAGAAAACTGTAATTGAAATTCAAAATTTAAATTTAACTAATTTAATACAACTGTTAATTTACACCATTATTAAAAAAGAACCACTGACTAAAGCATAGCTGATCACTGCTCGAGAAATAGCAAATCAAGAGGGACATAACATAGTTTGTACTATTAACCTAGTTACTATGCGTCAAAAGTTGTAATACATTTTCCGAAGGTACTAAAACGTTATAAAATAACGAAAATAATTTTTTTTTCTAAAATTGTAAGCTATCGTGAAAATTTTTTCAAGTAAAAGTTATGTGAAATTATACTATCAACCCAACTGAAGAAAAAAAAATTATAGATTTAAAAAAATAGCGAAATTAGTACTCACATCCGGTATAACCGGAAGTACAAAAAGAATGATTTCATGTCGTAATAATCCGTTTTAGCGACCTAACTATGCATTCCAAATGGTTTTCTTATATCACCAATAATAAAGAAAAACATGGGGGTGAGCCACTTTTGAGGGATACCGGTATAATACAAAACATACCAATCAGAAATAAAACTTATTTTGTTAAAAGTACACAACAATAAAGCAATAAATAAACATTTTTACAAAACGAAACTGCTGCCTCAGAAACTGTTTTAATGGGGTGATGAGGCATAGAAATTTTGATGTTCAGGTAATCTGATTAACGGAATATCGTCAGACTACATTGACTGTAAATCAGAAAATTTCTCCTAAGAAATTTGTTTGGAGAAAAATTCAGTTGCCCTGGAGATAGTGTTATTGAATCGATTGTAAGACGTTTCAAAGACAGAGTTTGGTATCCTGTCTCCAAGTGACTGGTTTTTAAAAACAGCTTATGTAGGTGATGTTTCGAAACCTTAATTTCCATAACGTCCGTTCATTTGATGGTTTCTCCGGAATCTGTAGTTTTTATGTTCAAAATTCGAAGTTCATTGGATAACTCTTTGAAATTTAAAAAGTTTGTACTGTAAAGCAAACACGTCGTAGGGATTCTGCCTGCGTGCTTGTTTAAATACGGGAATAAGTTGTGAGGGTACAAAAGATCTCCAGCATGCTTTGTCTCCTTGACATGCTGTCAACCCAACTACTGAGTATTCGGTGAGGCTTTTTATCTTTTCAAACACCATCCTTCGACTCAGCTTTATATTAACATCTGAACGTCGCTAATAAATAAAACATTTAGGCCCGGTTTTATAAACGACGAGGTTTTTAAGTCGTGATCACGTCATTTCGGGCAAATCATAGTCTACAATTTTTTGGTTGGCGAATATTTGGGAGGTTACGATAAATAAATTGTGGAGACATAAAATAGATTTCTTTTGTAAGTATAATATATGGTTTTCAATAAATTGATATAAATCATTATAAATTAATAGTTATGAAGATTTTAGTAATATATAATATTTTTATAAAACTTTTGGATAAGAAATGGATTTGCTTGGTGAAATGACTGATGATGAAGATTTTTTCGAGCTCGTCGATGTCGTCCAACACCCACGATGGCAAAGAGTGGTCAGAGAAAGAAATAATCATTTTCCAATCATAGTCTTGATTTCTTCTTCAATTGGCGTAATATTAACAACTGTATGTGGTCCTCCCCCTGTGCGATATCTTGCGGCTTTTTCTTTAGAACATTTTTCTTTCGTACGTTTTTTGATGTTTTCAAATTTATTTTTTAGAGTTTTAGTATTTCTATAGACGACACCACTTCTTGCGTTAAATTCACTAATTTACTTATCTCACACAGCTGCTTTACTTTTATTTGTGATTGTGTCTATGTGCTTGTTCTCTAAAACCTTTTGATACTTGCTTACTAGACCAACAAATATTGCCTCATCAGCGGCTGTAAAATTTGGTATTCGAGATTTGCATACCGTTTCAATTGTAATCACTTCAATATGGTACTATGACTTAATATGATATTTTTAAATCGTCAACACAAATATAATGGTGTGTCCTTTCTATTTTTCCTTACGGTTTCACACGCATACAATTCTGCTTGCAAATCTTTTTACAGCTGCTCCGAATTAAAATAATTGTCGAAATAAATGTGATGAGTTTTTCCAATTAGATTCCGGGTCAGATCTTTCACAACTCTTGCTCCCAAACTTGTTTCAGACTATTATTGATTTTTCCAGTGTAAATTTGAAACTGACATGCATAGTCTGATTGGTCAGTTCGAATCCATACTTTATAAGCCCTTTTGATTGGTTTTAAACCTCTTTTAACCCGACGTTTTATAACTCCTTGAAACTAATCATGGATTCATCAATTGACTGGTACTTATTGGACAAAAAACAAGATGAAAACGTTTCAGTTAATGATTCAATAAGTGGTCGTAACTTATACAATTTATCATAATTTGGAGTATCTTTTTTACAAATGCTATTAGAAGTAATAATAACAGGAGTAGGATTAATTATGCCAGAGGTTCCCAATCTTTCTCAGTTTGCGGCTCCCTAAATAATCGGATTTTTTCCGCGGCGCCCTTAATTAATACATCTGACTTTTTTTTTCAAAATGTTTGACTTTTTTGAAAAATTGGAAAACTTTCTTTTTTAAAATCGATTACCCATTTAACAGCGAAAAATTAAAAACAGATACTTACTATTTTCCTTGGGAAGAAAGAAGAAAGCCCAAGAGGTTGAGCAGCCTTCTCCCCGATCATCTGGAATTACAAGGAATCATGGGTGTTAAATTGTTCTATGTGAGGCTTTAGGCTGTTGAAGAATGCCATTCTGCTGCCCTCTTCTTCTGGTTCCACCGTCTTCAAGGTTTTAACTTCCAATTCATCGGGTTTGCGATACTTTCTTGCTCTAACAGAAGAAGGTGATACGTCAACAAATCGGATTGTCAATGAAAGTTGTTCTACATGACTAATATCTGGTGTACAGTCAGCTAGAATAGCATAATATTTGGATTTTTTGGCTGGTGATATGATATCGGACTTTACTTTTTCACCCATTAGCTGTATTAATGCGGTTTGAATATTTTTTCGGCAATAGTGATTTGAAATATCACCTTTCACAACTCGCAAGTGCTCCTGCATAACTGGATCAAATTTGCCTAATAGTTGTACTAAACCCAAGAATTTTCCGTTGTGCGGAGTGTATAATTTATCAGAAGTACCTCTGAAGGCCATATTATTTTCAGCTAAGTAAAGTGCAATATGCATCAATCTAGTCAAAACCATCCATGTTGTAGTTTCGTTTCTAATTAAACGTTGTCCTTGGCAATCTACTGTTTTTCCTGTTTTTAATCGTATTTCAGCATCACTCCATATAAGGTAACATTTTTTATGAGCGGTACTGCTTTCATGAATTTTTAACATTTAAGATAAGTGTTTCCAGTTGTTATATCCTGTAGATACTAAATTGGATACCGAGCTACTGTCAAAATGTCGGCAACAAAAACAATAAACATGATCTGCAGAAACAGAGTAAATTAACCATCGACGCTGAATTATTTTGTGTTTCGACTGGTTTCATTGTTTGCAAGATTTTTCGAGCAATGAGAATTAGAGAAATGCCGCCCGTTATTATCTTTCGGATAATTATCATAGTATGTTTGCGATGGACCAGTAGTTATTATATGATCAACTGTTTTGCTATTTCGAATTGGTGGCCAAGTGGCCGGATTCGATATATTCATGACAACAACGTTAACGTCAAAACTAAAGCTACCTAAAGCTTGAAATTGTGCATTGGCAGTGGTGTTATCTTGAGAAAGGTCTGATATTATAGCGCAGCCTATCTCCTCACATTTTTTCTGTGGTCTTACTTTTTGATCTTAAGGGCGGCCGCACAAATACGGTTTCAGTATTCGATTTCCGTGTACGGAATTCCGACTCGGAATTCCTAACAGCCAACGCTGACGTTCGATTTTTTGTATTAGGAATTTATACTAGTACAAATGCCAGTACATACAGTGACGCTTTCGTGAAATCACGTATACAACATGAACGACGACGACTTGATTGCTATTGCACTTGTACTGGCGCTAAGTAAGAAGAAGAAGTGTAAACGTCGTTATTGGGTACACCCATTAAATACTCGGAGAATAAAAGAGAGCCAATTCTACCTAAAACAAGCAAAATTACGATCACACCCCGAAGAATTCTTCAAGTTTTACAGGATGTCAATACAGGTGCTACATTAGTCATTGAGTGTATAACAGCCCTAGACTTATTAGATTTACTTGTACAAGGAATATTTTGCTGCTGATAGGTGGAACGTAAGTTGGTGATGGAGATGAAAGATTGTAATATACAGGCGAGCTTTCCGGTACGGGAGTGTATGAGCTGCGGATAGAATGAGAGCTTGGAAATGATATTAATGAATTATCATCATTGTAAAATTGTGGAGAAGACCGTGAAGACGATGAATAGTTTCCTATATTAATTTTTTTGACCAATTGAAGCATACCCAATTGAAAATCAATTTTTTGTTCAGTGTTCATTTTTTTTCATATAACTTCTGAACCTAAGTAAAAATTTGGTGTCATCATCTTCGTCAGTATTAGATGACATAGCAGTTTTCTGTTTTTGTTACAACATATTTAATATCTGAGTGGAGACATCTTTCTTCTTTTTCTGAATATTAACCACAGGTGGAGTTGGTACTGGTGGCTCTTCGTTGATATTTTCTGGTTCAATAACTTTGTTCTTCATTTTGTGATTGTAGTGTGGTTCACTACAGTCTGAATCTTCATTTTGGTAATTTCCTCCAGAATATCTTTAAGCAAACATGGGTGTAAGAAAGTTAACGATCGACAAACCGAGGCAGAACTATAAGAGATAATTTCGCTGAGTACTTCATGACGACGGCTGGGGAACTGTCATATCAATACAGCGAAAGAATTATTAACTCACATTAGTTAAAAATTAAATAAAAGGAATATTAAAATACTTATATTTGTTTCCTTTGTCTGTGCTTGTTTCCCAATTATTGTAAAGGTGTGTCCAGACATTGCGCGGCAGGTGCGCGGCAGCAACGCGCGGCGTTCGTCGGACACAATTTGCGCCAGTTTGGACGTATTCAAATAACGTGTGCGCGGCAGTGCTACGCGGCATATGCGAGACACGCCGAGCACTTTAGTTTATGTCAAAACAAAATGAATTCAGTTGCGTGTGCCGTAGCTCTGCTTATTATCATTCGAAAATTGAAAAGAAGGAATAAAAAGAAATGTGTTAAAAGGAAATTGTGGATGAAACCCCTTTATCGGCGGAGGTTACATAATTTTGAAGGCATAAATTATGAAATTCATTACCGAACACCGCAAGTTTTAAGAATGTCCGTAGAGAAGTTTGACTCTTTACATACCTTGGTTGAACCATTTATTACAAAACAGGATACATATTGGCGTAAAGCAATAACAGCAAAAGAGAGGTTGGCGATTACTTTGCGGTATTTGGCAACGGGAGACTCATATTCTAGTTTGCAATATGTATTCTGTGTATCCAAGCAAACCATATCAA